GGGGCGACGAGAGCGGAGCCGAGCCAGCGCCGAGGGTCTCGTGAGGAAATCCGCCCGAGGCCGGGAGGGGTGGTCCTGGCGCCTCGCCCGCGTTTCGGCCCTCGGCTGGGCCTGGGAAGCGTTATCCCGGGGAGGGCTTGAGGCCCAGAGAGGGAGGTGCAGACTGCCCTCCCTCATGGGCCGGGTGGAAGGAGCAGCGGGCCCGGGCGTGGGTGCGTGTTGACGGGCAGCGGCGAGGCCCTTCTCTCAGCACACGCCGGGACTCGGGCGGGTGGACGGGCGGGGGGCCGTGGTAGCACTCTCAGAGACGGTGGACTGATCCCGGGTCAGCCCATGCAAGATTTAGCCTGTTCAGGAAAGCTTAGAAACGCGGCATAATCCAACGGCAAGTCTTGCAAATGGGTGTCAGCATTTTGCATGCACGCCTAATGCCTCCTCTCCTGAGAAGCATTTGTCTTCTCCGGGCTCAGGAAGGACCTCCTTAATTACAGTGCAGTCCCTTCTTTATGTCGATGTTACAGTCCTGCAGATCATCCCTTCTGTCATTCTGAAGCTGGCTACATACTTCAAATACATGTACTATTTATCTCGTTCGGATACAAATCCACTTCTGATATAAAAGGTGTAGAGGGGAGGGGAGCATTTAAACAGTTTTGTACCTACCTTCATATGTTGAAGCACAGCTGGGGAAACAACTTCTTAGGCAGGAAGGAAACAGTAAATTGTGACCTCCTCACAGGCTCCTTTTTATGTAAGTATGTGAACTGGGAAAAGTGCTTATTTCATGTATTGTGCTTTAAACATGAATTCTGGTTATCTGTTTAATGGGATAAATCTACATATATTATGGTCTGAGGGATAGTTCAGATAATGTCCCAATCCAGTGTTCTGATTCAAAAAACAATTCCATTTTCTACAGCTTTTGATCTTACATTCAGAGTATGTTGAATCATACAGAAATTCAGGATATGTTTAAAAAGCTTTAGGTGGCCGTGGCAATAATAATAATCAACCTGAGGCAGTTCTTTCAAGAATATAAATAAAATGAAGATGTCTCTTTCAGCTATTATGTCTCTTAATCTAATTAATTTTCTGCCCTAGTTCTTCTCTTAGCACATGAAAGGCTTGGATTGTGAGACATGCCAAAATTATATTTAGATTTTAAATGTACTGCAATCGTTTGAACATAAATTATACTTGTTGAATTATATTTACTTTAATGGAACCAAGCTCATGTGATTCCATAGGACTACGTTCATCAACACACTTGTGCTGTATGTGATTCTGAGACAGTCTAATCTTAAAGTCAGTTTTACATTTCATGAAAAATTAGCTGCAAACAATTGTATGCATAAATTAAGTTTTCTGGCTCTTTCTTCTCCAACTGCTATCTCATTAGATTTATCACCTTGTCATTTGTTTTAGTAATGTTTAGTGATACTAATATTTTTAAATTATACATTGTAAAACTTAGAAAATGAAGTTTCTTGATCTCTGGTTACAATCTTTGTCAAGTTAGCAATAACCCACTTAAATAGTGTAATACTGGGAGATTAAAAAAAAACAGTAATGAGAGAGAAAGAGCAAGAAGAGCTGGAATTGTATTTGCATTTGGAAGTAAGGCTGACAGTGGTGCTCATTCCTTAGAAAATTTCTTAGAATTGAAAGATCTCTGGTAAAAAGAAGAGTCAAGGGAAAGTATGTGAATTGCATGTTTTTTTAATTATCAAATAATCACTGAAGATGGTGAAATGATAAGAAAAATTAGAAACTAACAATTAAAAAGCCATTCCCCGAAGAATTTCCCACTGGTCCTAACATAAGCTTTCTCCTGAGATACCACCTTCACGCACTATTATACTGCCCCTTTCTCCAGAACTGGATCAGGAAAATGCTCTTTGATCCCTTGTCTTGCAGAGTGAATTCCAGAAGAATCCTTTGCCAGGTCTTTGCCAAGAATTTGCTAATTCTTTCATTTCATCCAACACAAAAAATGGTATCAGTAACTGAAGGGCCTAAACTGGTTATGAAAGTGCTGTTTGTTAAAATTTGTTAATTTTGAACAGCATTACTGCAGTGAAATGAAACACATCAAATGTAACACTTGATACGCTTCGGCCATCTGTTTATATACAATTACAAGACTTCTCAGCATTGTCATCAGCTTTGCTGCTTCATCCCTTATAGTAATGAGATAAAATTAGTGAACCCTTTAGAACTATCTTTAATCCTTCCATACAAACTGAGGGCTGCACTTGATTCTTGATGGTATGCTCAGATTTTTATTTATTATGTGCTATCAAGTCAGTGTTGACTCTTAGCAGCCATATAGATAGACTTTCTCCATGACAATCCTTCAGGCTTTCTACTGGTGCACCTGTAGCCACTGTAAGTGAGTGTATCCACCTTGCTGTTGGTCATCATCTCTTTCCTTCAACCTTTCCCAGCATTAGAGCTTTCTCCAGAAAGCTAGGTCTTCACATGTTTCCAAAGTTGGATAATTTGAGCCTGGTCCTTTGTATCTTGAGTGAGAACTCTGGATTGATTTATTCAACGATCCATTTGTTTTCTTGGCTGTCCATGGTATTCTCAAGTGTCTTCTCCAACACTAACATTCAAAAGCATCAATATTCTTCCTATCTTGTTTCTTCAAAGTCCAACTTTGGCCTCCAATATGATAGGGAATAGCATTGTTTGCACTATTCTGATCTTTGTAGGTACAGACACATGAAGGCATTTGAATATCTTTCCAAGACCTTCTTGATTGCTTGTTCCTTTACTGGTGATGGTTGATCCTAAAAGGCATATGCTATCTATTACTTCAATATCTTCCTTATTAGTTCTAAGGCTGGTTGTTGCACCTATTGACATTCGTTGGTGTTCTTTATATTTAATCTTAGTCCCATTTTTTCACTCTGCTCCTTGACTTTTATCACTAGACCTTGCAGATCCTTTGCATTTTTAGCCATCACCATAGTGTCATCAGCATAGTGTAGGTCATTGATGTTTCTTCCTCCAGTTTTAAAACCATGCTCCTCTTCTTCCAGTCAGGCTTCCCTTAATATATATTCATAAATATAGACTGAATAAATAAGGGGAGAGTACACAGCCTTGTCTCACTCCTTTACCAACCTGGACCCTGTCTGTTTTCCCATGTTCTATCCGTACTGTGGCTTCTTGACCTGTATATGGGTTTCACGTGAGGGCAATGAGGTATTCTTGGATTTTCATTTTTCTAAACATATTCCACAGCTTGACATGATTGACACAATTTAAGGCTTTTCTATAATCAGTGAAGCACATATTGGCTTCTTTGGGGTATTCTTTGGCTTTCTCGATTATCCAGTGTGCATCAGCTCAGAGCCACACTGTAAAAAGTAGATGGGACCAGGACCTACAGTGTGATTGGAAATTCATCTGTTTTTTATTTGTCATATTTCTGGGCCACCTAACCTAACTCTGTAAAATGACTTTAAAACTACAAGCCATGGGAATAGAAATGTTATGGTCTGGGGCTGCCCTGCAACCTTAGGACACTAATGTCTCAATCGTTGAAGGAACAATGGATTCTGGATTGGACCAGGAAATTCTAAAGAAGAATGTTAATATTTATCAGTGAACTGAAAGCTTAAATGTGAGTCCTGTAGTATAACAATGACCCAAAGACACAAATCCAACAACAGCCGAAGCAGAAGGAATTTCACAATTCGGAATGGTTAAGTCAAAGCTTTAACTATAACCTAACTGAAATGTTGTGGCATCACCTTGAATGGGCACTTCACGCAAGCACTGAAGCAGTTCTTTAAGAGAAATGGACCAAAATACCTGCAAGCTGATATGCAAGATAAATGAACAGGTACATCAAATGTTTTGTTGAAATGGTTAATAACAGAAGCGCCACCAGTTACTGCATCTGAAGCTTCACGTGCTTTTTTCCAACAAAGACAGGGAATGTTGGCTCAGTGAAGACACAGTACACCTTTTTGGGTGTTTCTTTAACCCGAATTGTTGTATTGGACTTAGGTAAAGCTCAGATTGCATAATAAGGCACAACTGCAGGATTTAATCTTTCTCGCGGCTATTTAATTTTGGGGTATCAGCACACATACCCAAATGCTCTGGATGGCTAACACAGAAACATCACCAAGTTACACCTCCTCAAAAACAATAAACTCCTTAAAATTAACCAAATACGGTATCAAAATAATACAAAAAAAGAAAATGTACAAAAACATGTGTCTAGCAAATGCAGATCTTCAATCACAGCCCACCATTGTCCTGGGCTTGATGGAATAATGAGGTCTTAACTGGTCTCCTAAAACCCAAAAAGGGAAGGAGCACATTGGGTGTTTGTGATAAGGGAATCAAGGGGGAATAGGAGATGCCGTACCTTTTAAATGTTAAAAAGTAAAATGTTACATGGGCTAAAAAGTGGGTACTCTAGTGCCCTCTGCAGGGTACTGTATTCAATTGATCATTGAAGACACAACTTCTGTAAATAACATTAAAATGTTTCAATTTAATAAAGCTACATTTCTGATGCTTCTTAGGCACAGTTCATGAAGTCTTCAGTCAGATTTTTTAATTAAAACAATAATTATACAAAAGTACAACCTAGGAAACCATGTAGGCATAATGTAAATTTCTACCTGTCACCAGATTCCAGGTTGTGAGTTTACAGTTCCAAAACTCATCTCGGTGCTGATAAACATAGGCTATATTTGTGTAACATGGTAACGTATCAATTGAAGTCATCTTTGAGTGTCCATCCCACCAGTCCAATTAAGCTGTGAGGTTGGTCTATCTTGCAGCTCTAATAGTCTGTGGATTTCTCCCATCCATAACTAAGCCTGACCCTGCTTAGTTTCAGGCCTAGGCAAGGTCAGTAAAGTGCCCAATATTCAGTCAAATAACATACTGCCCAGTTGCTCACTTGCTTGTGAACCTCCCCATAAGTGCAAGATTGAGGTCATGCCTGTCTAGATCCTTTTAGGCTAATTTACACATCATGCTAAGCCATGGTTTGCACAGTTGGGGTTAACATGAGAATATAGCCAAACTATAAGAAAACAGTTTTCAACTTAGAATTCTGGAGTGAACCTGCTGCTTCTAAATATCAGAACTTAGAAAAATTGGAAACATCACTACATGATAAAGGGTTTTAGAAGTTATGATGCATTCTTATGCATGATCTTTGGTAGTGTTTACTAGGGATGATGGGAGTAAAATCTACACATACAGCATGTCACATTGGACAAGATGGTTATATATTACATGAGTAGCAGCCCTCATATAAGAGGCCACTTCTGATTTAAGTAAAAGTGAAGCAGCATAAAATAATTTCTCTGGACAGCAACAGGTGCTGTGTTGCATCATCACAAACAGATTAGGGATTAAACTTTTTATGAGAATTAAAAGATCCAAAAGACTCTGGAGAGACTAAACAAATATTGGAGTAATGTGGGACATCTATTTATATATCTATCTAAGGCTGAAACACTTTAAAATTGTAATTATGTATTTGCAAAAGTGCCTGTACATTATTTTAATAATTGGTGTGGTATATTCTGTATACTAAACCAGTCTTTCAGTAATAAAAACCTTTAAGCCAGGCTCATTCCATTTTTTGTCTTTACTGGGTTACCTAATATCCTGTTTGAATTGGCTTGCCAAATTAGACAATTTAGACCAGTGTTTCTCAACCTTGGCGACTTTAAAAGTTGCCAAGGTTGAGAAACACCAATTTAGACTGTTCTGTTTTTTATTGTTTGTATATGTCATGCTTAATGACTAACATAAATAACACTGTACAGTAAAGGCTGTAACATCTCATTATATAATATCATGAAGTTTATTATTTTATTATGTACAAATTAACCCTATGAATGTTGGTTCAGAAGCAAGTGTCAAAATAGCTTATTCCCAAGACAGCACCCTTACAACAATTCAATTCTGTATGTGTCTTTTTAGCAGTTCCACTGCATTCATTGGAACTTACAACAAGAAAGTGTCACAAGATTGTGCTCTTCATCCTTATAGCAGTAAGACAAAATATGAGGAAGTACAGGTAGTCCCCAGTTTAAGAATGAGTTCCATTCCCAAGGTCTGTCCTTAAGTTGAATTTGTATGTAAGCCGAAACAGTATGGTATAATACTGCATAAGTAGTATTGTGTAATTAACTTGAACCATTGTGTATTTAACTAGAATTTTGTTACTACTAAAATGTACTAAAATACATTTTAGCCTAAATGTGATGTGAAAAGGCAGCCCATATAATTAATTTAAGTATATGTATTCTGCAAACCTAGACAATTGGGTTGAGTAAATTATAGCTCAGTTAACCCTGGATAAGCATGTCCTACAATTACAGGCACTATATATTTATATGTAAATGTCTTTGAGTATGAGTTTGACTTTTAAAAAATTACTCCTCAATATACTAATATATAACTAGACAACCTGTGACCCGTTTGGTCATCATTTCAGAGAGATTTCCTTAGCAGATTCCTCAGTGCCTTCAATAATGGCAGCGCTTCTAATGTGCTGCCTTTACTTGAAAAGTCCTTAAAAGTTCAGGGAAAGATTCAGAGAGATATTCAGAGATGTATCTGCCTTGAAAATAGCCCATGTCATTCATATTGAACTGTATAGCACAGTCAAACATCAGGAGTTGACCACAGGAAATGTTTTATGACATTTTGTATGATGTCATAAAATGTTTTATGTTAATTTTTATGTTTTATAAATTTTGCCAAATTTCAATTCCATGTGAGTCATGGGTCCCGGATTTTGGACACATTCTGTAAGTTAGCCTATTTGAGGCACCTTGGTTCAAAAATTGTTGCCCTGTAACACACCATTTTGCCCAGTTAAAGGTTACAAACAGACACGAGAGTTTTAGTAGTATATAGAAAGAGGGAGGGAGGGAATATGATACAGAGTAGTAGGATCATGGTCACTGACCAGCTCAAAAAAAAAAAAAATAAGATGAGATTGCAAATAAAGACCACAGTAAACCCAAGAATTATAATACCGGAGTGGTCAAAATACTGTTTTACAAATAGGAAAACAAAAGTTTGGTGTATTGAAAGAAATAGAAGCTCAGCGATCATATAACAATTGTAAATAAGATGGATCCGGGTGACATGGAAATCAGACAGGATAGGGCGTGATTACCTGAAGCCAGGCATCTTTGTAATCGGAGAGCAATGTGTGAGTTAATGTTTCAGGAACGCCTTCTCCAAAAGGGCAAAGTCTTTGTTCAAATGGGATGCCCCAAAATGTCCCTCAAGAACAGCTGTTTGGAGGGCATTAAACCTTGCCAGGGTTAGGACTCTTCTGAATTGGAGAACCATTATTTGACTTAGATATCCAGCCAGTTTGAAAAAAGCTGAGTGGTTGCAATACCCCCCCCCACACACACACACATTTATAATTGATCCATGTGACATGGAAGTATGAAGATCTCACTACATTGATATATTATCAAAGAAAAGAAATAATTAGGTCCCCCAAACTGTGGTAAATTGGGTTAATTAAACTGATAAGAGAACCACAGAAGACTTTGGAGTCTTTGGGGTTCTCTGGGCTCATATTCGCCTCTATTGGTCTCTGAGCTTGGCTGTTTTCCTTGCAAATGTTTCGTTGCCCGGCTAGGTCACATCTTCAGTGCACTGAA